TATCATCACCTCCTGTAGTGGCCAGGAATGATCTGGGAGTGGAAATTGAGGTTGTGTGAGGAAGAGGAAGATATGGTGGGAACAGAGTGAAAAGCTGTTGCAAAAGAAGGTGGGATCGATGCTTGAAAGCTATCCTGCCTTCAGTTCATCTTGTTTCCCAGAATGGATTGGAGAGCGTACCAGTCATTCCACAGAACCTTACCTTGCTCCTCTGCAATGCCAGGTTGGTTAAAAACAAGACTCATATCATCCACGGCCTCCTCTTAGATGAGGATGCCAACCTGGCTTGCCTTACAGAAACCTGGATGGGAGATGTCAGCGTTATAACTTGGATGTAGGCCCTCCCAGCTGGGTACTCTGTTAGTGAACAGGTAAGGGGAAGTGGGCAGGGGGGTGGAGTGGCTCTGGTTCACAAGAATAAACTTACCTTGACCAGGATACATGTCCGGAACACAGTCCACTTCGAGGGTATGTATCTAAGCCTGAGGACCAAGGATAGTTTAGGGATTCTGCTAGTATACTGACCAACCCGTTGTCTAGCAGACTCCCTAACCGAGCTGACACAGCTGGTCTCAGAGTTGCTGCTGGAATCGCCCAGACTCTTAGTTTTGGATGACTTCAACATTCCACTCAAGACCAGTTTGTCAAATCTAACAGGTGTGGCTTGGGAGTTCATGGCATCCATGACAAACATGGGCCTATCCCAATTGGTCGTTGGGCCTACTGATTGTGCAGGTCATACCCTCAATGCAGTCTTTAGTACAGAACAGGAATATCTGTGGGCGGAGGTTACCAAAACCACAGCATTGTCATGGATGGATCATTTCCTGGTCAAGATTGAACTAAGAACCATTGCGCCCTCCTCACCAGGGGTGGTGGACCTATTAGAAAGGTCCGCCTTTGAAGGCTAATGGAACCATTTGGATTCCAGAAAGCCTTAGAGGGTTTAATGGTTGGTAATGCCGGTGATTCTGTCAAAGCTTTGGTCAATACCTGGAACACCGATCTCGCCAAGGCTATCAACACAATTGCTCCCAAGCGTCCTTTCCAACCCACTTCTAACAGTAAGCGGAAGATGAAGTGGGTTGGACAATGACTAGAGCACATCTGGCAGAAAACTCGACTCTCATCTGACAAGACTCATTATAGGAAATTTCTTTGTTCCTATCGAGAGACAGTACGTGCAGCGTAGAAATCTTTCTTCTCTGCAAGTATTGAGTCTGCAGAGTCCCATTCAGCAGAGATGTTTAGGGTGGTAGGGGAACTGACACAGGTTCTACCTGTGCAGAACCCACTACTTAACCCGACAACGGCCTGCTGTGACACGTTTAACAACTTCTTTGCAGATAAAATCTCTCAGATAAGAGCTGGCTTAGATGCCAGTGTTGTAACAGAATCAATTGACGAGGTGTCCAGCAACTCTGTTAATGAAATTATACTGGCTTGGTTTCAATCTCTGAGTACTGATGATGTGGACAAGCTTGTGAGGAGGACAACCTGCCCTCTCGATCATTGCCTGTCATGGTTGGCTGTCCAGAGGGGAGATGTCTTGAGGATGCTCCTTAGGGTCATCATTAATGCATCCCTCAGGGAAGGCCATGTTCCATCTTGTTTGAAAGAAGCGGCGGTTAGGCCACTTCTGAAAAAACCTTCCCTGGACCCCCTGGATACGAACAGCTATAGGCCAGTCTCTTTATTACCTTTTTTGAGCAAAGTGATCGAGAGGGCGGTTGCCCTTCAATTCCAATATCTTGGAGGAAACCGATTATCTAGATCCATTTCAAATTGGCTTTAGGACAGGATTTGGAGTTGAGACTGCCATGGTTGATGACCTTCATCTAAGCATCAACAGGGGTAGTGTGACCCTGTTGGTGCTCCTAGACCTCTCAGCGGCTTTTGACATAACTTCCTCCTGGATCGCCTGAGTAGGTTAGGAATTGGAGGCACTGCATTCCGTTCCTTCCTCTCGGGAAGATTCCAGAGGGTGTTGCTCAGGGACAGTTGCTCTACTAGGAAGGAGCTTAACTGTGGCATCCCTCAAGGCACCATCCTGTCCTTGATGCTGTTCAACATATATATATATGAAGCCCCTGGGAGTGATCATTCAGCGTCATGGGGCAGGGTGTTATCAGTATGCTGATGACACCCAGATATATTTCTCCATGTCTCAGTCTTCATCTTTGACTTCAGATGGTGTCTCTCCCCGCAATGGCTGTCTTAAGGCAGTAATGGACTGGATGAGGAAAAACAGATTGAGACTGAATCCAGATAAAATGGAGGTACTTACAGTAGCGGCCCTGAAACTAGGTATTGAGATATATTGAGTCCTGGATGGGGTCACACTCTCCTCCAAGGGTTGTGTTTGCAGTCTGGGGGTGCTACTGGATCCATTGCTTCAGATGACGAATCAGGTAAATGCGACGGTTAGGAGTGCCTCTTATCAGCTTCGGCTGATAGGCCAGCTGCACTCTTTTCTGGAAGTTAGGGACCTTGAAATTGTGGTGCACACACTGGTAACCTCCTGTCTTGACTTCTGTAATGCACTCTACATGGGGATGCCCTCATGCTTGGTCTGGAAACTCCAATTAGTACAGAACATGGCAGCCAGGTTGGTCTTGGGAACATCAAGAAGAGACCATATAACACCAGTCTTAAAGTCACTTCACTGGCTGCCTATTAGTTTCTAGTTACAGTACAAGGTGTTGGTTATCACCTTTAAAGTCCTACATGGCTTGGGTCCAATCTGTCTTCGGGACTGCTTCCTCCCATTTAATCCACCCCATGCACTCCGGTCCTCTGGGAGGAACCTGCTGCAGCCTATAAAAACCAGGCTGTCTGCAACTGCCCAGAGGACCTTTTCAGCAACCGCTTCCAGATTATGGAATGGCCTGCCGAATGAGATCCATTATATTACCAACATAACCAGCTTTAAAAAGGCTGTTAAGATGGATCTCTTCCAACAGGCCTTTCCTGACTAGATATCCTTGAGAGTTAGCCTATCCTTCCTTCTCCAACTCTTTGCTGCAGTTGTTGGTTATTGTTTGTTGTCATTGAGACTCTTTTAAGTATGTTTTAATTATGTTATTGTTTAATACTTTTTTAAAGGGTGAGTGGGTTTGGGGATTATTGGGTTGTGATTTGTATCACATTTTTATGGTAATCTTAATGTTGCACACTGCCCCGATTGCCTTGCAGAGGGGCGGGATATAAATTATTATTATTATTATTATTATTATTATTATTATTATTATTATTATTATTATTATTATTATTATTATTATTATTATTATTATTATTTTCAGGGGTTGCCGTCCTGGCCAGCCCTTACAGCAAAGCACAATAACATCCAAAATCCAAAAAAACAGTGATACTTTTATTGGCCAACCAAAATGCACAAAATAGATGAAGAAAGCTTTAGAAGCTTAACTGTGGCGGCTTCACTGTACAAAGATGATTTTTCAAACAGGAGAAAGGGATCACTGTTTTGTGGATTTTGGATTTTATTGTTTGAAGTGTGGTCAAAACAGCTACTCCTGGATATGCTTTTCAGATTTCAGGATACTACATTTTAGACACAACAGGGGAATCCTAAACAAGAGGGACCAATGGGATGAGGCTTAACTTTTTGAGGTCTTTATCTAAAAAAAAAGTCAAATGTTTTGTTTTTTAAATGGGACTGCATTTGATGTGTTTTAAGCAGCATTTAGAAGTTTTTTCAGGTGCAACAACACAGAGACTTCTTGAGAAATTCAATATTATCTGTCAAAGGATGGGGCAGGTATTTTCACACAGGAGAAAAAAAGAAAGGAGGTTTCTCATTGTGCTGCTAATGGACTTATTTGCAAATTTTGTTCCCTGGACTTCATTGTTTGTCTTCCAAAGCCCATATGCCCCCCCAAATAAAAACTGGATTTGTGCCTCACGATTTCAATGACGTCGCACAGAAACTGGACAGAAACTGGTGTTATCCGAGATACACATACACACACACATTTCTATGGGGGATGGAAATGGAGGAAAGGTGAGTTGCAGCCCATTAGCATGCAACTAAGAGGAAAGAGGGACTCTGGACCTTAAGAAAGAGTCCTCCCCTTTTTCAAACACAGACACAAACATTTCTATATTGGGGGAGGGGAGCTGGAGGGAAAGGCAGCTCTAGTTCCAAGCAAGCAAGAAGTTTCACCACATCACCACACATTTACCAGGACACAAAAAAGCCTCCTAACTGCTCTAAGCCTCTGCTTGCCTCCTGTCCCTTCCTGCTTCTGGGCTCTGGGTCTGGCATACCTGCGCAGTACCACCCAGAGCCTCAAGGGTGGGATCTGGATGAGTTTTCCCACTTATTTTCACTCTTGCCTTCAGGAATCCAAGACATGCTGCTTTTCAAAGACT